GACGGCGGTGGGACAATGGGACAGAGGTACAGTGGGGACAGTGGTGGGGACAGTGGGGACAGTGGTGGGAACAGTGGGACAGCTCAGTGGGACAGCGGAGGAGTCAGTGGGACAGTGGGGACAGTGGGGATAGTCGGGCAGTGGTTGGGGCCGTGGAGAAAGTGGGGAGAGTGGAACCGTGGTGGGAACAGTGGTGGGGACAGTGGGGACAGTGCGACAGTGGTGGGAGCACTGGTGGGGACAGTAGGGACGGTGGTGGAACCAGTGGGGACAGTGGTGGTGAGGACAGTGGTGCTGGGAACAACAGTGGGGGATGTGGCGCGGACGGTGGTAGGGACCGGGAGTCGTTTGCTGCCGGTGAGTGGGGTGGGTGGGGAGGGGTTCGAACCGATAGTGCCCCCCCCTCCGGTTTTCGAGAGGGGGGGGGAGGGGGGGTTCGAACCGGTAGTGACCTCCCCGGTTTTCGAGGCGGAGAGGGGGGGGAAGGGTTAGGGGAGGGGGGGGGTGTGCCGTTGGGTGGGCGGAGGAGGAGGGGGGGGGTTCCGAGGGGGGGGAATTTTCGGAGGGGAGGGGGAATCCCCGGGTTCCGGAGGACATAGGAGAGCTTGGGGGAATTTTCCACAGTAAGCGGCGGGTTGATCACGCTTTTTTTGTTTTTTTTCTTTCTTTTTTTATTTTTTTTTTTTTTTTTTTTCTTTTTTCTCTAAAAAAAAGTGTTAAAAACATGTATCAACACTGTTTACATACATGTTTAGACATTTTTTTCTTACATGTTTCACAGTCTGAACTTATTCCCTGTCCCTTAAGATTGACACGCCAAAAGGCGATTGACAATCTTAGGGATGCGCCCTGAAAAGCTAAGGGGATCCCCAAGATTGGAATCGCGCTGGAGCGATGCCCAGCTTAGGGGTAGGGATCTGCTCCAGGCTGGTAATTTTTTAAAACACATCTTAAGTTCCATGCTAGGACTGTTGGGGTGTCCATTGTCGTGGCATGCGCGACCCTTGGGTGCGGTGCGGGCTCACAGGGGGTCCCCCCGACACCGGCCCGCGCGCGCTCGGATCCCGCCTGCCCGCGGCCCCCGGGAGCCGCGCAGCAGGGCGCTCGCTTGCCCGAGGTCGCCCTCTTAAGCGCGTGGTCGACCGGGGTCCGGCTGGGCCTGGACGCCTATTGGGCGGCGGCTGGCGCGGCTGGCCAGCTGGCTGGGCCTGCCCTGGGCCGCCCGGCCGCGCCGCCGCGCCGCGGTCGCGGCGGACGCAGCTCGCGCGGAGCTGCCGGGCTGAGCGGGGCTGCACCGGGCGCGCGCGCCCCCCGCGGGTTTTCCCCCTCCCCTCCCTTCCCCCCCCCCCTCCCCCGCGCGCCGCTGTCGTGTCGTCTTTCGTCGTCGTTCCTCCCTCTCTTGCCACAGGGCTCCTCTTGCGTCGGAAAAAAAAAAGTGTGGTCGACCAGGGTGGTCGGGGCCCTCAGACCCCCAGAGGCTCGAAACTACGGAGTCTGGGCTTCCTCAGCGCGCTGGGGGAGGCACGCGCGGATTGGCGCCTGTGGATGCGCTGCCGTGCAAAGCTGTCGGCGCCGACGCGGGAAGTCTGAGAGGAGAGCGTTCG